AGCCGGACAATCAAGCTCTCAAGTCTCACCTCACCTTCAACCTTCCTCTCCCCTTCTTGTTGCTATAGATCTACTATAGGTCTGCTGTTGGAGCTGCTACAAATATGCTGTTGGAGCTGCTACAAATATGCTGTTGGAGCTGTTACAGATCTGCTCCTGTAGCTGCTGTCAAAGCTGTTAGCTGCAGCCTGCAGATCTGTTGGAGTTCATCCTGCTGCCTGTGCCGAACTCCTTCTCTGCTCTTGCTGCCTGTTACGTCCTCTCAGTTGCAGGTCAGTTCCGTTGTTCGATTGACTCAATACATATGCAATGTCATCCAGGATCGCATGGAAGTCCCTTGCTACAATCGTCTCGTTCCAATTTGTTCTTTTTTTTTTTTCTTATTGCGAAGTGGATTCTTGGTTTGGGTAGTTATCTTCTGAAAGGTTGGTCTTTTAATTTCGTTTTGTTGCCTCAGTCTTGCTAATGTAAAGTATGTGCGGATATAAATTAGAGCTCCATGAATTTTGTCACTCTATTGTGATAGAAAAAACAAACCTTGTGCTAATAGATTCCCACACTTAGGCTTTCAAATTAGGTGGTAGGTTTATTGTGATGTTTCAATTGTTGCGGGTTAAGGGTTTCCATCTCTTTATATTTTGTAAATTGAAATATTGTTAGTAGTGTGGTCTTAGTGGAATTGCTATGGTTATATTTTTATGTATTTTTTTTTTGTTCTTTAATTAAGTAGTTAATTTTTAATTTAAATTTTCATATTTGAAATAGGTTCTTTGGATGATATATGTTTCTTTACTCAAAATGAGGATGTGGATTGTGATGAAGACAATAATTCAGAGGTAAATATGCATGACCCTTTTTTATGCTAATAATATAAGCAGTTTTTTTTATAAATATGTTAACATAAAGTATTTACTAATTGTATTGTGGGTCTTTTTATAAGCAATTATGGATTTTGAGAGCTAAAGTGTTTTGAGTTGGTTCTTGGCTGCTTCCCTTCATGTTGAATGTTAGTTTAATTTAGTTATTTTATTTATGTTGGGTTGATTTTTGCTTATATTTGGAACAAGTATGTTGCTTTATGTTGGATTAATTTCTATATATATTTGGAACAACTTATGTTTGGAACATATTGCTTTATGTTGGATTAATCTCTATTTGAAACAATTTTGTTGATTTAATTATTTGTGTTAAATTAATTTTTATTTATGTTTGATGCAAAAAATATATATTTTGTTATTAATTAATGGGAAATGGGGATCCCCGCGGGAAACGGTAACGGAAACGGAAGGTAAAATCTGCCCTCGTAAAAAATCTCCGTGAGGATCCCTGTCCCCACCATTCGTGGGGACAGGGATGGGGATGCACTCCCCGATCCCGCAAGATCCCGTTGACATCCAGTGGGAATACGCCGACATTGTGGAATTTGAAAACGTAGATCATCTCTACCTAACCAAGGATTTGATCATAGTTTTAAAAATAAGATCAAATTGGTTGGTCAAATCGGATCGGATTAATACCGATTAATTTATATGAGTTGGGTAAATACTTGAAACCGTTATGAAGATTAAATTATTTATAGTCAGTAAAATTATTTGAACAGATATAAATTATTAAACCATTAAAGCAGACAATTCAAAGTTTTTGAGAAAATCATCACCTCCAAGGTTCGAGCACATAACCTTTGCAATTGATTTTTTTGTTTAAAATTTTATTTCTTTTATTTTTTAAAAAAATTGAAAATATCTTCCTTTAACTTTATCAAGTTTCTCCACTTGATATGAAAAGAAATATTGTTAACTTTTATACTGAAATTAATATAAAATTTTTTTAATTTATATCTTAAAAATATAAATTAAAGTGTAATAAATATAATTTTTTATAATTAATTTATATAAAAAATTATAAAAATTAATATTTATTTTAACACTATTAACACATAGATGATTTTAATTGATCAATTAATTTATTTAGAATCAACTTTTATAATTTTTTATATAAATTATTATAAAAAATTGTATTTTTTCACCCTTAATCTTTATAAAAAAACTCATTAATATATTATAGGTCAGAAATATAATAATATAAAATTTTACATTTATTTATAATTAATTTAAATAAAAAATTATAAAAATTTACATTTATATAGATGATTTTAATTAGTTAATTAATTAATTTAAAATAAATTTTTATAATTTTTTATATAAATTAAGGAAAAAAATTATATTTATTATATTTTTAACTTTTGTAAAAAAATAATAAATATATTATAGGTTAAAACATAATAATGTAAATTTTTATATTTATTTATAAATAATTACAAAAAATTATATATTTATTATATTTTTAATTTATATAATAAAAACATATTAATATATTATAATTATAAGTTAAAAACATATTAATTAAAATTTAATATCAACTAGCCGGAATCTCTATTCTCAAAATAGTAGACAAGACAGCAAACCAATAAAACCATTGCAAGTGTATTGTTAAATACAGTACAGTATTATATTTATTAATATTTAATTAAACCAACAATTCAAACGGTTTAGTCAATTAAATCAATTAAACTAATTACACTGAGACCCATAGGTCAAAACAATTTAATTTTCGGATCGGTTTTTCAAAAGACTTATCTTGATCGTTCGGCTGGGCGTGAAGATCACAGAATATCAATGTTGGTCTCTTGTTGCATATATACTCTACAACTCCTAGGCCCCTATTACCCCAAAAAAAAAAAAAGAAAAAAATCCTTGGCCCTTTTTATTTCCCACATAAAAAGTTACCCCTGTTCAAAAATGAAAAATAGTAGCTGGCGTTGGATAGGAACTTTAATTTCAATTATAAAGTAAATGAATTATGTTAAAGAAGTTTTTTTTTTTTTTTTTTTTACCGACTACGTTAAAGTTGTCCCTTTTCTGGCCAACAGTTAAAAAAAGATATTTAATCAATCAAAATAATAATAAAAAGCTCAAACAGCAACGCAGATGGTCAAGGGAAAAAAATGGGGGAATAAGAAGACGATAAAAAGGGAAAAACAGGGTCTCATCAATATCATCTCCATCACCGCAAGGACATACCGGGACACAGTATCCCTTTTTTTTTTTCCTTTCTCTTTTGAGGATGTGTTTAGTATGATTATAATTTTAAAATTTTAGTTTTAATTTTTAGGAAAGAAAAATTTTATTTATTTTTATATCGTTTTATAATATATTATTATAATTATTAAAAAAATAATAATTCTGATTCTATTTTATATTTTTATATTTTTTATTATCAATATTAAAGCATAAATTATACAAATTATTAGTTTTTTATTTTTAATTTTGGTTTTCAAAAACTATTAAATTTAGAGAAATCAAAATTTAAAACTTAAAACTACAATCATACTAAATGAAATTTAAAGAATTAAATTTATATTTTTTTGTTTTATTTTCTAAACTATATTAAATTATAAAATAAACATTATTAGAATAAAAAACAATCTTGATGTCAGAAGACCCACTCTATCAATTATTTATGTTAACCAATTCATATTAGATATTTTGTTTTAAAAAGTACCAAAATAATTGTAGCAAAATATTCAAGGTAGTTTACATATGAATATGCTATTTTGTAGTCTTAGGGGCCTATCTTCATCCAAAAATCTCTTTTTTGTTGGAAAATTATGTCTTCAATATAGAAATCAACTTAATTTTGAATTCAAAGTTTTGTATGAAACATGATTATTAATTGAATAGATATATCCTTTTAATTTGAATAAACAAACATAGCTATTCATTGTGAAGAAAGGTTATATTTGTTGAAAGTTATAATCTTAGTTTAGATGACATAACTCTTAATTATTATATTTTTTTATTAATTATTATTAAAAAAATTAATTTTTATTTAAGTAATTATTTAATTAAAATAATCTGTGTAATAATAATAATGAAATTAATAACAGTCTTTTTATTTTTTTAATAATAATTAATATAAAAATAATATAATAATTATATTTTTAATCTTTATTCTTAAAATATAAATTAAGGAAACCCTACCCAGAATTCCTGTTGCAACTTGACTAACGTCATCGGGTGTACGTCACCACCCTACCAACCGGCTATCGTTATCGGCACTTTCACATCACGTCATCTTAATGACGTTAGCATTTGTCACCAGTATCCAATCACTACTACCTTCAATGCCCACAGCAGACTTTGAAGATGTCAAAATTATAACAAAATAATAACACACTGTAAATTCTATAGAATTGTTACCATTATGCACCTAGATTTAATAGAAAAATATCAAAAAAAAAAATGAATATGTAAAATTTTTATGAAAATTAATAAAATTCCTTAATTAAAATGGCAAATGAAGCTCATAATATATATTCAATTAAAAAACATATAAATGGAACACTAAAAACTTAGTTTTAACTTTTAACTTTTATTGTTCTTTTAAAGAATTAATGTCAATAATAAAATCAAACACCACAGCCATGATGAATGGAATCATAATATAATTTTTTAGAAAAAACTAAAAAACAGAAATAATAAAATTTTAAAATATAGATTAACAAAGAATTGAAAGAACATACAAAATATTGACTAATTTTTATTTAAAATAACCCTTGCTCAGTCTTAAAAGTTAAAACAATTAAAATTTTTTATTAAAAATAAAATAATTAATATTCTTATTAAAAAAATATTCTTAATTGATTGTTATTTGTTTCCTATTCTTGCTTTACAATTTTTTTATATTATCTTAAAATTTATTAATAATTTATTAATCTAAATAAAATAAATTTAATTTTTTAAAATAAGGCCAATGAAATTTAATAAATAATGGTAATAAATGTCCAGTGCGAACAAGCTGGAATTAATGAAAAGAGGAAAAAGAAGTGAAGCGGAAAGTACTCGTCAATTCACGGGTTTCACTTGCTCTCTGTCTCTCTCTCTCGTCCATGTTCGTCGATATAAGACGCATCTTTCCCGTTCAGCTGCTCGTACCCAGTCCTAACTCCCTTTAGCAACCTAACAAACCATGTTTCCCCGACCTCTGTTTGCCTCCTCCCTCCACCTCCTCCTCCTCCTCCACTTCCCTCCGGTTCACAGCCGCTTCCTCTCCACTTCGGACCTCGTCTCCGATGGAGTCCATTACCAGACTGGCTCTCCTTTCCTTCTCCTTAATCCATTTGCTGCGAATGAGTCGTCCTGTGAGCAGACCTACGGATTCATGCCGTGCACTGCCACCGCACTTGGGAATCTCTTCTTAATAATCGTTTATGGATACCTCATGTACTTTGCCGCCATCTACTTATCCAATGGGAGTGAGCTGCTGCTGGAGATTCTCGGTCCTGGTATCATCGGAGGCCTTTTCCTTCCGATACTCCGGAGTCTACCCGACGCCCTGACCATTCTCGGTACTTAAAATATCGATTCATTTTCGTTTTTTTCTTAAAAAAATTATATCATTGGATCTCGCGCTAGCTTATATTGTTTGCTCTTAAAATTACCATGATAAAGTAAATTTTTACCAAAAAAAAAAATGATGACATAATTTATTATCTTAAATTTTTATTTTCTTCGTTAAACAATTTTTTTTTAAATTTAAAGAAACGCTAAGTATCATCGTTAAATTTAG